TAAGTAAGTAAGTAAGTAAGTAAGTATCCTGGTGAACAAACTTGTTTATCCCATTCATCATCTTATATAAATATGATTGCACAGTCCTTGAAAGTGAAATTGTTTAAACGAAATAAAAATACTTAACCGTATCACATCTCAAATGATATGAGTTAGCTGAATTGATGAATGATTTCTATAATAGAATCAATTCAATTATTCTGTATATCAGTATGAGGTTGTAGAGGCTATTAAGTTTCTGATCGATATCATCAGCCGATTGATGTGAGATCCCCATCGAAAACCTGGAAGCACTGGTTAGCTGTTTCGTCCTATTGTGGGACTCTTCAGCAGTGTGCAACCTCACTCCTGTTGGATGTGCACTGATGAGGAGTCCAATAATATAATGAAACGGATGTTCAGTACTTCCACATGTTTTATATAGTTTATTGTGATTTGTTATTCATAAACTTTGCTTACTTTTATTAAAAGAATTGATTACATCAACATACTTTGAAAATTGCTAAAGGTTACTTAGACATAATTATGACTAACCAGAATGTTATTGACTGAAGAAGAAGAAGAAGAAGAAGAAGAAAAATAGTTGTTTTCATTTAAATACCTCTAACCTTTTATGATTGATGTATTGCTTTAATTAATAACTGACTAGTAATAAATGTCAGATTGTCTAACTTTGATTACTGGCTGAATAAGATCGATTATTGTGTATTATACATGACTGAATATCATATATTGGATAATTCTCAGGGGATAAAAAATGCCTAAGTCATTGAAATAACAACAAATAACTATAATCCACGGATTATATCTATTTTATTCTTTATAAGCAAACATAGATAGTGGTTAGCAGTGGAATATGGGATGCGCGTTTCGTCTTATTTGAGACTCGTCAGCTGGACGTACATACATCTCAGAGTTAATGTTCACTCTGGGAGTCGAACTCAGTATCGTTCGCTTCAAACACTATCGCAATATCCACTTAGCTACTGAGTCCTGATAGCCACTTGCTTGTGCAATGGATTGATATTTTAAGTTCACTTGGTATTGTTTGTTTGAATCTTCTCACTGATGTTTAGGTCTGGAATAGAATGAAACGAGCGTCCTGGATTCCACTGCTAGCCATTTTCCATCTTTACTTCGAATGCTTGTGAATTAAGGCAATATCAAGGCAATGCACACGGTATTCACGCATGTCAATGACAGACTGGTCAATTGCAGTTCTAAACAACAATGAGGAGATTCAAGTAAACAATACCAAGTGAATCTATTTTATTTCCTGTAATGCTATAATGATGAATAGCTTATTACATTTTATATAGATTTCAATTTATTCTAGTTTTAAGATCAGTGATCAGTTCATATATTAATTCCAATCTTTTAGCATGATGTTAGTCAGATTACTGTTTACAGAAATCTAACACTATGACAACTCATTCACTCGAACAGATCCTTTCACTAACTAGTAAGCATCGACATGATATTTCGAAACGTGTTTCTATTTGGTGGTAAACACTTTTTGCTTAATCATGGCCTTTTAAACATGGTTTCATTAATAAATCTACGATAAATTGAAGAGGACAGCAAGTCTATAATTCATGGATGCACCAATCAGATTTGAGATAAAAGGTCTCAGATTTTGGCATGAAATTCATTCATCCATTTGAATAAATACAGTCTTGGCATTAAAACTCATGTCAGTTCGTGATGACCCCAACCCCCCAAATCTAGTTCCTTAATCTAAACATCAACTGTAAACTATGATTCTAATTTTTCATACTGATTTATAACTCTCATTCAATCCTCGTTACTAGGTGGCTATTTTCAAGGTTGTTATAACGTAACTCAAATGTCGTTCATAAATTATAGCCTCACCAAGAAAACTCTAATTTCAATCAACCATTATTACTCTTGACTGTCATTATTATTACTGATAAGCTAATTGCTAAAAAAATCATTCAGTTACAGATATGAATGGTGCATGTTGCCTTCCTGAAATTCTAGTGAGAAGCCGTTACCAGTGGAGTTCAACCAGGTCTGTTGTGAGATATCAAGACAACGGTGTACGGTGGTGCAATTTCGTCGATTGGTTGGAGTTAAACATTAACACTGTTGGATTTCGGCCAGCTCAGTGGTCTAATGGTTAAGCCTTAGCGCGCGAGACTGTTAGGTGATGGATTCGAATCTCGCGAAGCAGGGTCTTGGATGCGCACTGCTGAGGAGTCCTACAATAGAATGAAACAGCCGTCCAGTGCTACCAGGTTTTCCATGGCGGTCTAGCTTCAATTAACTCATGATTCTGACCATTGAAAACTGAAAGTAACAACTTTTTTTCTCCAATTTTCACCTTCCTTCAACTTTTGACTCTAGTTCTATGATTTAAGATTTTGAAAGGCTATAAATAAACTACGAAGTCATTCAACTGAAAAGAACTTTCTAATCAACTTCTTATATTTTTGATTGTTTTAATCCATAAAATGGATTTCTTTAGTGGATATCAACAATTGACTAGCTGAAATGAACTCTATTTGAAGAAATGCCGTAAAAATAATGTTTATGATTTGTGAAATTATTTAAGCTACTCTATATATATGTTCTGTTATAAAATATTCTTCAAATCTTCGCAATTGAATTCACGGGTCAACTGAAGCTAGACCAACATAAAAAACCTAGAAGCGATGGACGGCCGTTTCGTTCTAGTAGGGGACTCTTCAGCAGTGGAGAAGATTTGTAGCCCAGGTGGATGTTTTTGATGGAGTTTTGTTCTCTGAGCTGAATGGTTTGGTCGTGGGGCTTTCATCGTTCATGATGAAAGCTCAGAGAACGAAAATCTATCAAAAACTCCTTAGTAATGCTCATCCACGATTCCGCCTCGCATGATTCGAACCCAGTACCTTCGGCCTCGGGTGTGGATGCTTAACCTCTAGACCAGTGAGCAGGTATCCAACGGTGTTAATATCTAACTTCAATCTATCCATGATCTTGCGTATTCATTCATCCATTGTATAAGATAGATACCTGTTCCTATTACACCCGAATCGGACTCCATTGTTCACGGCTTCTCACTATATCTCCAAGGAATCCATCATGAAGCTAGTTACTAATAATCATATTATTATCAACAGTATGAGGATTTGTGGAAATTGTAGTATTTTAACAGTTGAATTCACGAGTCAATCTAGGCTGTGAGGGACCATGGACGCGCAATCTCAGGATTCCCCTGGTTCTACATCTTCAATGGTGGTATAGCTTAAATTGACTTATGAATTAAAGTATTAAAATTACTACAACCACCAAAATACTCTATGCTGATGGTTTATATTTTTGTAAAATTGTACAGTTGTTAAATCTACTATGATAATCGTATATTATACAATGGAATTTATTATAACTAACTTCAAAGCTTATTTATTTATTTATTTATTTATTTTAACACATAAATATTGGTACGACTAGGCACCAAATATATATGCACCAAACAAATCTCATTTGATATGTGTGAGGGCTGTGATACTCCCCGGGTGCCCAAACCGAAGCAGGTGGTTTTCTTAGAGAGCCACACCCGGAGCCTTCGACCTGAAGGTCTGATCCACAAGGCAGTGGAGCATCGTAAGGAGATGCAGTCCCATGGTAACCGGTGACCAACAATTGGTTCATACGCCATTTGTTCCTGCAGGATACTGGAGTGCATAAATATCTGTTTTATTTGAAAGCTTACGCTTTATGAGTGTATGTATCAACAATTTCAGATGAGATCGAATTTCATGACATTCTACTACAGATCGTCTTTAGTAACGTATTAATAATACTTGGAAATGCATCATGCAAAGTCAAAGTGTAATTTAGCATAATAATTTGGATTTATTCTATTCAAGTTCACCTATTTCTTGGTATTTTACAAATTGTGAGACTTTATAAAACTCTAACTTAGAAATCATTGGATTTTTAAATGAACACTATGAAAGATTTTAAAATTACTAGGAAAGAGTAGTTCAGTATGGCTCGGATTTCAGTAGGTCTATGAAGAAGTGACTATTGAAATGATAACTTTCTCTAAAAACCAATTAGTTTAATGATAGAAAACTATCTTATGAGTCAAAATGTTATCTTCATTATTACAAATAGTATCAAAATTTACTAGATTAGTCAATGGTCTCATCTAAGATTAAGCGTAAGTCTTTAAAGGATCACAATGAGTATTTAACATTCAAACTATTGGATTGGCAATTATCCAACTGTTTCTGTAACTGAGATCAGTTTGAAATGGTAAACTAAAAAAATCCTATTGCCAAATACATAATTGAAACAGGTTGTAAGATTGATCATAAGTCAGCTTTGTGGTGTTGTACAAAACTGTAAAGGGGGCGTATATTAAGATGTATTGAAACCTTAGCCTCCCCCCTCTTTGCATTAAAAAAAACCCAGTTTGTTCTCACCTTAAGCCTACCCTGATAATATTAGCTTATTATTATTATTATTGCAGAAGTGACCAGGTTTCAAACTGTTTTCACATTATTTGTTTATTATCCTTGTCTCCTCTTACCTTCTATTCATATTCTACTTGAATTAACAAGTATATAATGTGTAATCTGATTGTTCAAAATGTATTGCTCTAATCATATAGTTCTGATAATCTTCGCCTTCTTATTACACTATAGAAAATTATTTTCTAGACTATTTATCTCGTGTCGATAAAAGAAGATGGTGAGATTATAATTTATGGACCACATTTGAGTTACGTTATAACAACCTTGAAAATAGCCACCTAGTAACGAGGATTGAATGAAGGTTATGAACCAGTATGAAGAACTAAAATCATGATTTACAGTTAATAGTTAGAGTTGGGAACTAGATTTGGAGTGGGGGGGGCATCAGGAACTGACATGAGCTTTAATGGCAAGACTGTATTTATTCAAATGGATGAATGAATTTCACGTCTATAAATTCTAGTTTTTTTCCAAACTATTACTATAATATAGATTAATTATAATAACTGAACTTACTTTAAAGAAACCTTTACATCCTTCACATGTTCTTACACCATAATGTTGACATGCTGCATTATCACCACAAACTAAACATAATTGATGACAATCTGTTTCATTCATTGATATAGAATTGATATCATTTAAATTATAATTAGAAACTTTTGATAATCTAGAATTATTCGGACTAAATGATATCATTGATGGTGTAGATGTAGAAGATAATAATAAAGTAGACGATAATGATGCTGATGATGTTGTGGAATGTGTTGATGACGATGACGAGGATGATGACGTCGATGACGATGAAGATGATGATGATGATGATGACGATGATGACGATGATGATGATGATGATGATGATGATAATAGTAATAATGGACTGATACATGTATTATGTTCATTATATAACTTTATATTCTTTTCATCGAATGTATCTATTCCATTCATAAAACAATGATATGAATGTAAATAGGAATCGGTATTCGATTTATTCATGAATGTATCATTGAATAAAATTGGTTCATTCATATCATGATTAGAAGATCTATTATTCAATAAGATTGTTGATGAATTATGATATAATTGATTCTTATTATCATTATCATTTAGATCTAATGGATTATATAGACATTTATGTTGAAATCTTTTTGTCATTGTATTCATATTACATAATTTCATATTAGAATCAATGAAATTCTTATCTTTTATTGTTGTTACTAAACAATGATCTTTACAATCATGAATACAATTTGGTGTATTAGATGTTGGTAAATGTATAAAAGGATCAAATCTATTTAAACATATTTCATCATTATGATTAGTAGTAGTAGTTGTTGTAGTACTAGTAGTCGTAGTCGTAGTAGTAGTAGTAGTATCTTCAATAGGGAGTATAATATCATTATTTAATATTGAATGAATAGATGAATGATTAATCATAGTATTTTCATTTGTAATGATTGTATTCATTCCATTCATTTCATTGGTTTGATTGATTTCATTCATTCCATTCATTTCATTGGTTTGATTGATTTCATTCATTCCATTCATTTCATTGGTTTGATTGATTTCATTCATTCCATTCATTTCATTGGTTTGATTGATTTCATTAGTTTCATTAAAGAATTCATTAAATTCATTAAAATGAGATAGTTTTGTTAAATGATTATTATTATTAGTAGTAGTATTATGATTATGATTAAAATATTTGACGATTAATGCTTGTTGTGCAGCTAAATATTTTGAATTCATTTTTAATTTATCATTAATATCTGTTGAAGGTAGTATATTCGATGAGAAATAAGTTAATGGATTTATATTAAAATAATCTAATGTTGTATCATTATTATTATTACTATTCAATTTAGATAATGATTGTTGTTGTTGTTGTTGTTGTGATGGTGGTGGTGGTGGTGCTGATTGGTGTTGGTGTTGTTGCTGTGGTGGTGGTGGTGGTGGTGGTGGTGGTGGCAGGTGTTGTAATTCTTCATTAAATGTATTCCTTATAGTTAACTTATGATGTTGATGATGGTGATGATGATGAGGATCAGGAGGAGGTGGAGGTGGATGTGGAGGAGGAGGAGAAGGAGAAGGATGATATTCATCATTTGTACATGATATATATCTATGTGTCATTGGATGATTACAATAATCAAATGTAATTGAATTAAAATGATCTATAGGATTAATAGGATTTAATTGTTCTGTAGAATAAATTGTATATTCATTATTATTATTATTATTATTATTTATTTTATCTATATTGTTTATTAATGTAATCGTTTCATCATTTTTATGATTGATTGATTTCTCTATTGATTTACTATTATTATGATTATGATTATCATAATAATCGAATGGTATTGATTTTTGTGGTATACAGGATGATAATGATGCTGATGATGATGATGTCATATTATTGATTATAGGAAAATGTTCAATCGAATTAATTGATGTATTATATAAATAATCATGATGTTGATGAATCGTTTGTTTATTTAAATCAATATTTGATGATAAATAACATGGTAATGAATCATTATATTGATTGAATAATTGATCATTATCGATTAAATGAGAATCAGTGATAAATTGTAATTCATTATTTAATGTAGATGATTTAATAGAATAATCAATAAAATGATGATCACGATGATGATGATTATTATTATATAAATCAATAGATTGTTTAGAATATTCTTTCATTAATTTCAATGATTCTTTTTCATAGATTGATGTTTCATCATTGATGATATAAGATGAATAAGTAGCGTCAATTTTACGTTTTAAACGTGATGATTTCAATGACGATAAAGATGGATTTTTCTTTAAACTACTACTACTACTACTACTAATAGTAGTAATAGCAGTAGTAGTAGTAGTAGTAGTAGTTGTTGTTGTTGTTGTTGTTGTACACGTTTCATGATCTTGTATACTTTTAATATTATCATCTTTATTCATCCAATTAGAAAGATTATTATTATTATTATATGAAACAATTGACGAGGAAGGATAATTTGATGACGAAATCATTTTCTCTTGTTCATATTTATTCTCATATGAATTCATAATATGCTTTTTTACAATTTCTTCCTTTGGCATTATAGTATTATGATGATTATGATGATTATGATAATTCTTTGAAGATTCTATTAAATCATGTTTATGTAAAACATTTTTATTCGTTGTAAAATGTCGAACTTTTTCAAACGATGTTTCTTCTTGAAGAAAATAATTTCGTACATCTTTATCATTAAATGATGAAGATGAAGAGGAGGATGAGAATGAGGAAGAAGAGAAGGAGGAGGAGGAAGACGATGATGACGAGGATGAGGATGTTGCTGCTGATGATGATGTAACTGGATGCAATTTATTTACATTCAATTGATCCAATTCATGATTATCTAAATTAAACATTTTTGATAAATTCAATGTATCATTTGTATAATTCGTTGATAAAATCAATGAATGATCATCATATTTAGTTAATAATGGATTATATAAATAATCGGTATTATATCGATTATTTAATATTGGATACCATTTAGATGAATTGAATGAATTTGTTTTATGCTGAATGAGATCTGTATTATTCAATGATGTAATAATATTGAATGTTGAAGGTATAATAATATCACAATTAGATAATTCATGAGTATTATAACAATCAGATGGATTGTATAATACATCATGATTATGATGATCATGATTATTTAATTTAGTTACCAAGTCATTTAAACCTTTAGTGAGACAATTAGGTAATAAAGTTGAATGAGTTTCTTCTTCTACTATATTACATTCTGTTGAATAGGATAGTTTAGGATCATTCAATTCCAGATTGTTATTATGTATTATCGGATCAGTATAATGTGTTATATCATCAATATTAAGTTTATCATAATGATCTTGTTTAGATGATAATTTTAATGACCATTCAGGGAATAATCCATTTGTATCTATATGATCTGATTCATCAGCATGTCCTATTGTATTATAATATGAATTATTCGAAGAGATAGATGATAGATGTGAATCATTTATATCACATGAATGTATCATTAATGCTGTATTAGATGTTTCATGTAATGAATGGAATGTAATTGGTATAGCCATTTAATATTCGTCACTAAATAGAAATTTATTAAGAAGAAATTTTAAAAAATATATATATTACTGTTAATTAGTAGTAAGTGATAATCATAGAAACAGATCTCAATCAAAAACTTAATAATCTCCACAACCCTTATACTAGTAATCAATATGTGCTCACTGGTGACTAGCTTCGTGAGGGAATTTTCGGAGTTCTGGTGAGATGCCGTGACCAGTGGAACTAATCCATGTCGAGTAGAGACAGGTATCTACCTTAGTACAACGGTAATTGGTCACGCGATTTCGTGGATTGGTTGATGTTAGACATTATCAGCATTGGATGCCGGCTAAATGGTCCAGTTGGTTAAGCGTTCGCACGCGAGACCGAAGGCCCTGGGTAAGAATCCCGCGAGCGGGATCGTGAATGCGCACTGCTGAAGCGTCCCATACTAGGACGAAACAACCGTCCAGTGCTTCCAGGTTTTCAATTGTGGTGGTCGAACATGAATCGGTTCGTGATCTCAATCAAAAAATACTTTCAATGTACTTCATTCAATTATTATCTATAGTCAATTTAACATATGATTGAAGCTAGCGAGTGTGAAATCTAAATCCAAACTTCTTGTTTACTGGTATTCGTTATCAAGGTTTAGCAAAAATCTTCAGGCAACTACCATTCATGTGAGATTGCAACTCAAGTTAAAACGTATCACTGTCTCTGAGGTCACTCTTAAAGTAATCAGGTTTTAATTGATCTCTTACAGCGCAACAAAAAACTTTTAACTTGTTATGTAACTCTTTTAACTAATAATTTCATGGGCATTTAAAACAAACCATGTCGAAACGGCCGTGCAGTGCTTCCAGGTTTTCAATTGTGGTGGTCTAACATCAATCGATTTATGATCTCAATCAAAAATTTAGTAATCGCCACAACCCCTATACTAGTAAACATGAATAATTCGATTTCGTGTATAAGACAAATATCAACCTAGAATTAAATATTGTTTTGTAAAGAAACAACTCCATAACAATCGTCTTCTTACGTTTACGAACCGTTTAGATGATACAATCATTAGAAATATATTTAAACTCTTAAAATCCCCATTGTCAAGATTCAAGACTGAGTTCGCTCAGTCCCCGTAGAATATCCTGATTAAATAGCTAAGTGGATAACCAACTATAGTTCAAATCGATGGACACTTATATGACATGACAGTCTAGGTAATAATTTTACAATGTACGTCTACGTAACCGAAAATGAAAATCTAGTGTTCGATTATATTGCTGTCTAATACTGAATTATATAATCAATGGAAATGTCTTTCACATTAAAAAAATATTCTGGTAAATAAAAATCGATTAATCGTTCTTATTACAGTTAACTATCATGATTGATTTCTGTTAAATAAGAATACAGTTTGACTTCTTAAAGTGCTGGCAGCGTCACTGATGAACACGGTGGGTTTGATGCAGATTTGAATGCGTGAATCGGCAAAGCATATCTACAAGTGAACAACAAAAGAAACTCAAAACAACTGTCCACAATCCAATACCAAGATGAGAATCTTCAATACAAATGTCAAGACAGTTCTACTGTATGGGGCGAAAACCTGGAGAACTACGAAAGTCATTATCCAGAAGAAACAAGTGTTTATTAACAGTTGTTTATGCAAAATACTTCGGGTCCGTTGGACAGACACTATTAGCAACAACCAACTGTTGGAGTGAACAAACCAGATCCCAGCGGAGGAAGAAATTAGGGAGAAGCGCTGGAACTGGATAGGATACATATTGAGGAAAGCACTCAAATGTGTCACAAAGTAAGCCCTCACATGGAATCCTCAAGATCAAAGAAGGGGAAGAGGAAGACCAAAGAACACATTACGCCGACAAATGGAGACAGACATGAGGAAAATTAACAAAAATTTAGTAGAACTGGAAAGGAAGGTCCAGGATATAGTGGGTTGGAGAATGCTGGTCTGCGGCCTATGCCTTATTGGGAGAAGGTAGAATTAGATTCAATAATAAGTAACTAAAAGTGATACAGTAAGGTAAATGACTGATAAACGTTATTCCATTATTTGTTCTTAATTAACTCCCAAGAGATAGTATAGAACCATAGAACAACATTTAACCGTAACAATTTGTTAACATCCTTGTTGAATAAATTTAATCGGGATTGTGATATTATTGTGACAGCACTTAACATTTCCTCTGATAAGTGTTAAGTTTGATTATCATTGTGACTACCTACTATCTGGTTAACCAAATAGTAACAATAACAAAACTGTTACGTGTAACTCGAAACTGAGTATGAGAATATCATACTGGGTAAATGAATTAAATCATTGTCAAATCAACTTTACTGGTAATTAAAAATATTTGTTATACAACAAATAGGAAAACTGATATTTATTTTGATTCAGATCATGGACCGATTCATGTTAGACCACCATTGAAAAACTGGAAGCACTGGATAGACGTTTCGTCCTATCGTGGAACTCCTCAGCAATGCGCATCCACGACCCCGTCCGCGGGATTCGAACCCGGGGCCCTCAGTCTCGCGTGCGAACGCTTAACCAACTGGATCATTGAGCCGGCATCCAATGGTGATAGTTTCTAAAAGTTAGGCGTTCTGGGTTCAAGGTTCGAGTCTTGAGAGGCGGTATTGTGGATTCGCACTGATGAGAAGTTCCACAATAGAACGAAACGACCGTCCATTGCTTCTAGGTTTTCCATGATGGTCTATCTTCAATTGACTCATGATCTCAACTATTAAAAGCATTATAATATCCACAAAAACTCCTTCTGATATTGATATTTATCTATTTCATGGTAATACTCATCACTAACTAATATCAATGAACAAATCATTAATAAAACAATTGAGACTGTGACATTTGAATATGACATAGTGCTCTTCATTTACTTAAACTGTACATTCGTACTTATATTTGTTTGGTAAATGTAATGTTTATAGAAAGATGATTCGAGATTTCATATATCAAAAGAGATTACGTAATAGTCAAGTGGGTTACATATACTTATCAGAAATGGCTATCCGCCTAGATTCGTCGATAGAAACTTAACATTAAGCAATATCGTGAAAAAAGTATTGACAGTTCAAAAGAAAACTGTTTTAATGAATAACATCGAGGTGCACAGAACAAGCTTTGAAACACATATGGAGAAATTCAAACACTTCACTTCTATTTGAAGTTTGTACCGATGATGTCGTTCAGAAGGACGATGAAAGCCCCACGACCAAACCATCCAGCTCAGAGAACAAAACTCTACCAAAATAATGAATAACATGTTTAAAGCCGATACAGCTGCTGAAATGTTGAATAAACTGATTTGAAAATCCCTGAATAACAAATACGTTCTATTCAGATAACACTCGTATTGTCTTCTCAAGTCAGCCTATAATTCATGGATGTCTTAGGCATAAAATTTCACTTTGGGTCATATCGATATGCATCTATAAATTTACTTGCGTCTTATGGGACAGATTTACTGGTTGTACAAATCGATCACTTTCTAAACGTATCTCAGAACATTATCTGACGTCGCTTTTAATAGGAGAATCCTAAACAGGAACATCCGATCAACTCTGGATAACATATACAATCAAAGGAACTACATCGAAGTTAGAGTGGATCAAAAAAACCTATGCGCTGCTGAGTCATTGACGATCTACCAATTCAAGTCCGAACTCTGAGCACAAAAAATGATGCATCCAACCTTTTATCCTTCCATGGCTTTAATTCCCTTCTGTAGTACATTTTGATCTTGTTTTGTTTTAATAGTTCTAAACTGTATTCAGTTATTACTATCCTTTAGCAATTTTTCATAATGACTATTCAATTGTTATTATGACATTTACTATCTTCATTTTTTCTTCAAACCTACCCTTCTATTCTTCTTTAACCCACTGACTATAACATAATGAATCATTTCATGATTAAATCTTTTCTATCTTTCTCTAGACTTATATAGTTACCAAACAACCGTAGATGTGAATGTACAGTTTTCCTCTGTATAAAACAAAGGGATATGTAAATCAGCAAATAAAGAATATTCAAGAATATCTTTCTAAAACATTTTAAAGTTCTGATGAGAAGCCATGACCAGTGGAGCTAATACGTGTCGGGTAGTAACAGGTGTCTACCTCAGTACAATAGAAGATGGTCGTGCAATTTCGTAGATTGGTTGAGGTTAGACATTAACACCATTGGATGCCGGCTAAGTGGTCCAGTAGGTTAAGTGTTCGCGCGAGAGACTGAAGGCACTTCGGTTCGAATCCCATGAGCGGGATCGTGGATGCGCACTGCTGAGCAGTCCCACAATAGGACGAAACGACCATCCAGTGCTTCCAGTTTTTCAAACGTGGTCTAACATCAATCGGTTCATGATATCAATCAAAAATACTTCAGTGTCTTGAATTGTCTTAATGAAGGTCCATAGAAACAAATCAAGTCCAAGGTATATGAATTACCATAAAAAATTAACTTTTTCTTAGAGAATAATTCAGAAAACGTTGGTTTTAAATAGTATATGACATAACTTTACCGTATCGGTTGACAGTAAGCTGAAGAAAATAAATAAATCCAAAACTATGTTGATAGACTGATTTCATGTTGAAAGAAATGTCTTTGAATCATTTCAATATATTTCTGTGAAGTTTTCAATGATTTCCTATGGTAGAGCTACTCAAAGATACTACTTATTAATTGTTTACAGTCAATTAATATAAAGCATAATAGATCACAATCTTAAATCAATCAGACTTACAAACTTGAGGATTCTTATGAGGAATGCTGAAGCTATTGATCTCAGACATCTCTTGTCACTTACTATACCACAAATTCAGATCAAATAGTTACTAAGACTATAGATTTCCAACTTAACTAATAGTGTGACTATAGAATATTCTTTAAGATCAATCTTTGTATATGTAAATTCTAGAAGTTTGTAAAAAGAATAGAAACACTATGTGTTCTCCATGAGACTGGATATTATATGCATGACACGTTGATGTTACTTTTGTTTCGTATGGTGACATGAATCTTGCTAACAAGTCCTAATAATAAATTTACAATGAGATATATTTAAAAGAAGGAGGTATTTCTCGAAGAATTCTTGTAACCTATTAAAGATATATACATTAGAAAGTAACCTGAATGGAATAACACTTAAACTCTCATACCTTTTCCCTGTAAGTCATAAATAAAGACCAATCAAAGCATTCGAGCATAGCAAGAATATACAGTTGTAATTGACTATCTTCTAGGAAATAAATCCATTCAATTATTTATCAGGTACTATGGTACCAAATACCAAAGTAATACGGCATATGCCTTTGCAGTTCGATAGTAAGCCTTCTACTCAATAGAAGGTACAATGTGAACAAAGTGAGTTCATTCGAAGTCATTAATAGACAGTTTAATTGAACGTTATTAAGCTTTGAGAAAGTCATAGAATTTATGAACTCCTAATCTGATCTTTATATTCGTAAAGAGTCACAAGTTAGCCTTCGACTTTTTGTTATACTATGCAATAATAATACCATGAATATTCTAAAACTATCATCAAAAGCATAAAGGCTAGGATTGGCAAAACAAAGACAGAATTCCAACTTATAGTACTCAAAACAACTGTCAACCAATATCAAGAACACAATCTTCAATACGAATATATCAAAACAGTCCTACTATACAGAGCTGAAACGTGAAAAACTACTATAACCATCATCAAAAAGGTACAAGTATTTATAAACAATTGTTTACATAAGATACTGAAAATTCTTTGACCGAATACGATCAGCAACAGCCTACTGTGGAAGAGAACAAACTACTTTCCAGCTGAAGAGGAAATTAGGAAAAGATATTGAAAGTAGATAGGATGTACATTACGAAAATCACTAAACTGCATCACAAGGCGAATGCTCATTTGGATTCCTGAATAGGAACGGAAGGAGGGAAGGCTAAAGAACACACTTCGTCGGAAACTGGGAACAGATATGAAAAGAATAAATTGCAATTGAAAAGGACTGTTCGATGGAGAGTATTGGTGTCCAGAAAGGGTAATAGGCGTTAGTAAGTAAGTACGTTAATTAAATAAATAGGACAACATATTTCAATGTCTATGTAATGGCCAGTTTTATTTTCAACTATCTTCATTAGAAACATTGAATAATACTAAACTATCTTCTGTATTGAATCCATAATAATATACATAGGTCTATGAATGATTAGATCAAGTCTGTAAGTCATCAGTCAATCATTGTGAATGCCAAAAGTAAACATTTAAACTTATGACTCGAACGACCTATAGAGATATCCCATCCTACATTTTACTTTCATGATTTTAATATTCTATCTTATTTTTATATTTCATTTAAACACAATCTTATTTACCTTAATTCATTCTAGTCTGACCTTCTTTAATAATAACTCACTAATCTATTTACATTCACAAACTACTAACTGAGATGATGTCATTCAGAAGAACGACGAAAACTCCATGACCACACCATCCGGGTCAGAGAATAAAACTCCATCAAAATCATCCATCTGAGCTACAAATCTTCTCCACCATCTCAGAATATTTTATATAAATAATGTGAATGAGATGAATATTTACAATTCATCAATTGATATACTACTAATAATATCATCAATGATTGAGATCATGATCCATTTGATGTTAGATCATCATTGAAAACCTGAAAGCACTAGACGACCATTTTGTCCTATTGTAAGACTCCTCTAATAATATTCACTTACTGATTAGATACTTACTTACGCCTATTACTTCTCGTGAAGGAGCATAGGCCATTCACCAGCATTCTCTATCCAACCCTATCCTCGACAATCCTTTCCAGCTCTTCCCAGTTGTTATTACTTAGATATCTAAGTAGTATTTATAGAGTTTCATAAATTATCTAATATAATATATAAGTAATCATTCAGAATATAAGTATACTACCAAAATAAGTCTTACTAAATCCATTATTAGAACTTACATTAATTTCTCTTGACAAATGATGTTGTCTTTTGAATTCATCTAAATACATAAATCCAATCAAGTTCTTAATCAGTTCTTTTCATTTATCATAATCATTATGTATAATTTGTATCTCCTGAAAGTTATCATACATTACTTATAATGTTAATAGTAGTATTGATTATATTCAATTAAGATGAGAAAAGACTTGAATAATTAGTATCCATGTGTACCTTTGAGTAAACGTATCTGTATGTGTAAGTGCGCGTGTGTGTGTGTGTGTGGTAATGAGTTTATGTCTTGAGTATGATTTATCAACAGTTGAATTGAACACAATGAATATGTATTCGTGAAATCCTGATGTTTAAACTAAAAGTTTTACTCTGTATCCAATGTTTGTAATATAGAAAATACCTATGAATAAACGAACTAGAAACCTATAGATTATCAACAACAACAACAACGAAAAAGCACAGATACCAAAGTTTGTATATTAATTTAATAATGATTATTAAGAGGGGAGAATACATGTAAAACTATATATACATACTAAAAGAAAAAGAAAAGAACCTTGAATTGTGCACAATGTATATTTATATATATTTCATACTATGCCTGTATTTCATTTTTGCGATCACCTTCGTCGTCATCATCATCAATAGCAACCCAACAACAGTAACAATAACAACAACAACAACCGTAACCATATCGTCTTTAACATAGATCTCTAACACTTAATATCTATGTATGCCTACGCTAAGGATAAAGAAAGTTTAATCGACCCTCTTCTATGATATAGATTACCACCCTATTGTAAAAATTGACCGAAAAATACCAAGATATTATTAGTTAAACTAAGGGAAATTGCACCCACGTATTTATCAAAATCTTTAAGCCTACATATATATATGTTTGTTATCTTAGTATGAAACGAGTATTTATCAGCACACTATTAATAAATGTATGTACATAAGGTGCTTTTTTGTTGTATCCATGTATGTTTATAAACCTACCAACCCGATTGCGTATACACAGATTTGATCTAGTTGCGTATGAATACGGTTTTTTTTCCTTATTTTAGGGGAAATATAAATTTTGTTTCTAAAAACAAAAGAATGGTGTTTTATGCGTCACAATTATAATAATGAATATAAACGGTATTATACTACTAACTTTAAAGTAATAAGAAGTATTACGTAATATTTGTAGTAATAGTTACAATGTTCATAAATGATAATTATCAATATCATGAAAATATGAGATAGTTCATTAGTGAGTTCAATCAAGTCTGTTGTTGTTGTTGTTGAGTCAACTTCCGAGAACTACAATCGAGGCTGCAGAGGCCCTAAAAGTGTCGAAGAGTTTCCAGCTAATCAGAATATGATGGAGCTTTCTAGAATATCAACATGGTATGCTACTATTGGTCAGTAGTACAATATGTCTCTTAGCGGATTGGTCAAAATATAATGTTAATTTAACAAATGCTACTATCTATAAATATTCGTGATTTACTTGGGATCCGGACCCAAGCATTTGATTCACAAGTTATAACAGTTGTGAAATAGTAACTCATTGAAGATAATGATGGATGATGGTTCAAGTTCGTGGATTGGTTAAAGTTAAACATTAACATTGTTGAATACCGGCTCAAAGGTCTAGAGGTTAAGTGTTCACGCTTGAGACTGATGGGTGTTGGGTTTGAATCTTACTAGGCGGGATCGTGGGTACGCATTACTGAGGAGTCCCACAATAGGATGAAACGGCTGTCCGGTGCTTCTAGGTGGTCTAGCTTCAATTGACTCATAAAATCAACTAATAAATTACTATAATATCCACAAAAACCCCGCTCTGATTAAAATTTTGATTTGTATCAAAGGATACTTAAGTTACATAAAGTGATTATACCGGACTTGAAATTCTATGATACAAACAAAAGATCTCAGTGCAAATACTATTCAGTAGTCATGCAACTGATAGCTTCTCCAACTATAAACAAAGACAGTAAGCTAAACTGATTCAGATTTTGGTAAATTTTACTGAAATTAATTGTAATGAATATTAATTATTCGAACAATATGTAGAATAATATATCACCAATAAACACTTATTTATACTCATCTACAAACACTGAAATAAAGAAAACGGTATCCATTAGAGATATATTCAAGCTGAATAAATGTGATTCAGTTAAATGCATTTGTATATCTTCTTAGATCTTACGCCTGTTACTCCTAATGGAGCATAGGCCACCGACCAGCATTCTACAACCCACTATGTCCTGGGCCTCCTTTTCTAATTCCATCCAATTCTTGTTCATTTTTCTCATGTCTATCTCCATTTCTCGGCATAATGTGTCCTTTGGTCTTCCTCTTATCCTTTGGCCTTCAGGATTCCATATGAGAGCTTGTCTTGTGACGCAGTTGGGTGTTTTCCTCAATATGTGTCCTATCCACTTCCAGCACTTCTTCCTCATTTCTTCCTCTACTGGGATCTGGCTTGTTCTCTTCAACAGTAGGTTATTGCTAATAGTGTCCGGCCAACAGATGTGAAGTATTTTGTGTAGACAACTGTTAATAAACACCTGTATCTTCTGGATGGTGGTTTTCGTAGTTCTCCACCTGAAGTCCCTCTGGGGGCTACTGCCGGTTTCAAGCCCGGATAAAGGGCACGGAGTTAGCAACCCCATCCCGTAGAAAACTAACTCGCTAAAAAAACTCTAACCAGGAAAAATTATTCAAACCTTTTAAAAGTTATTCATTTGTATATGCTTAATATTTTATCCCTACATTCCTACAATTGAAAAATATATGAAACTGGTAATAACCGTTTCCAAGCCAACTTTGAAATCAAAATCTTCAATACGAATATTAAAACAGTCGTACTGAACGGAGCTGAAAGTTGGATATCTACTACAGCCATCATCATAAACGTGCAAGTATTTCTGAACAACTGTATACACAAGATACTGAATGTCCGTTGACTGGATAACACCAGCAACAGCGTACTGTGGGAGAGAACAAACTAGCTTTGAGTTGAGAAGGAAATTAGGAAAAAATGATGAAAGTGAATAAGACACATATTGAGAAAATCATCAAACTGTATCACGAGGCAAGTGCTCCGTTAGAATCATGAAGGGATACGGAAAAGAGGAAGTCCGAATAACTTACTGCCTTGAGAATTGGAAGCAGACATGAAAAAGATGAATAACAAATGAAGAGAACTGAAAAGGATTCTCCAGGACAGGGTTGGATGGAGGCTGACCTATGCTCCTTTATGAGAGGTGACGGGTGTAGATAAGTAAATATTTTATCTAATTAACTCCATTCACCACTGAAATTCGTGTTAAATTAGAACTGTTGTGTATTCCTTACAAAAACTGTTTATATTAAATTCACTTAGTATCGTTTTACTTGAATTTTCCCATTGATGATTAGAACTTCAATTGATCAGTCTCTTGATGTCATATGTGTATACATCAACTCTGAGATGCAAGTACATCAAGCTGACGAGTCCCAAATAGAAAGAAACGCACATCAAACTGTATTCCACTGCTAGCTACTATCCGTCTTCGCTTATAATATCCATAGTAAGTTTGAAAACATCAAATACTTAATTTTTCAAGTAAAGCCCCAGAAGCGCACATGCACGACCCGGGGTTCGAAACCAGGACCAATCGTTCTCACATGCGAACGCTTAACGTCTAGACCAGTGAGCCAGTATACAACTCTGTTAATGTCTAACTTCACCCAATCCATCATTATCTTCAGTGAGTTACTATCTCACAACAGACCTGGTTGAACTCCACTGGTCATCGCTTCTCACTACAACTCTATGAAATGCCTCTTGAAGTCAATCACTCGTGAGCATAAAATGATTATAATCAGAGAGGGATTTTGTGGATATTGTAGTAATTTAATAGTTGAGTTCATGAGTCAATTGAAGCTAGACCACCACAGAAAACCTAGAAGTACTGGACTGCCGTTTCTTCCTAGTATGGGACTTCTCAGCAGTTATAATATATGACAGTCATTTTAATGTAAATCAAATTATCAACTTAAATTCCTGAACTAATTCGTTTCAATTTAGCCTATTCATGATCTTAACATTCCATAGTAGGTCACCTTTATCAAAAATAAACGACTAAACCTTTCACTAGATCAGATGTTACATAAAGTATTGTAAATAATTAAACTCACTTGGTATTGTTTACTTGAATCTTCCCATCGTTATTTAGGACTGCAATTGATCAATCTCTTATTGGCATATGTTCATACTGTGTACATTGCCAGAATATTGGCTATTAGGACTTATTAACTAAGTGATTAACGCGATGGTATTTGAAGAGAACTATACTGACTTCGAATCATAGAATGAACATCAAATCTGACATGCAGATATATCCAACTGATGAGTCCGAAATAAGACGAAACACATGTCAAATTGGATTCCACTGCTAGCCACTATTCATCTTTACTTAGTATTATAAATAATCTATTGATACTTTCATTGAACTAATCATTATCTATTAAATGGATACAATAAACGCCAGTATTTTTTTTCTTTATCATAACTAACTGTATATTCATAATTCAATTTGATATGGTATGAATAGTTAGTACTATAGGTATAATTTATCTAAAAGATTGCAAAAAGGAAAAAAAGAAGAAAAAAGAAAAAAACATTCTGAATATGGAATAATACCTTCACTATCTTTTCTTAAAGATAAATCTTAGTCAATCAAATCATATCATGGTTATTTATTACAGGAATTCACATTATTGATATTGAAATGATTGACAAGAAACAAGAAGTATAAACTTGAGGAAACAAAAAGAAAAACAACAACAACGACGACAACAGTTCGAGGTTTCCAAAAATCTCATTTCTCTTTTCTAATGTTATCATTATATAAATAAAAACCTAAGGGATATATAAGTATAAGATAGTGATTAGAGGTAGTCGATAAGAAATCCTGGACCTAGGTTTCATGCCATTTGGCACTCATCAATAAAGTGTACCTGTAATTTTCAAGGAACTGATACTCCCTGAAGAATTCGTTCTCGTGTCATCCAGCTTCACAATCAGAAATCTTAACACTGGGCTATCCGGGTGGTGATCAATGTCATGTATGTCAGTGTAGATCAAATTGCCATGTGGCCACTAGTTTAGGTGACTCGATATTGTGTGCACTATGTTAATATAAGATCGTGGTTGGAGGAAATCCCGAACACAGGTTAAGATTCAATCTGCACTAGAAAGGACCTGACACACATGACACTGATGAAGTTTAGTTCCCTGAGTTCGATGGTTTGGTCATGGAACTTTCATCGTTCTTCTAGACGACATCATCAACACAAACTTCAGATAGAAGTGAAGTGTTCGAATTTCTCCACCTATAATTCACAGCTTGTCCTATACACCTCAATGTTGGTTAATTCTTATTGAAAGCT